TAGGCTAATCTGTCATAAATCCTTCATAAATGTATGTAACAGTTTGCTACCTACGTGCGTAAATCTGCAAACATGTTCTAGCTCCCGTTTAAAAATGTTAATCGGGCTAATTTGCTTTGTTTTTTGTTCGCTTATATGGTAGGTCTTAAATACCGCGAAACCTATCAAACACAATATTATATTCGTGCAATCGTAATTTTTTTCTTGTATTTTGTATCCTAATATCAAATACCTTAGCTGTCTCATATTTTTACAGATACCTATGTTTTGAAAACCTTTATCCATTTTGTTCCAATAATTGTCAAGATATCTACAGTTGATAAAATAATGTTCAAAATCTTCTACCTCTTGACAGACGTTACAGAGCTCTGAGTCAGCTATGGTCATTCTGTTTAACATCTGTCTAGTTGGTATTATATGATGAAATAATTTCCATTTGAATACTTTATACTTATTGTCTAATAATTTACTGAAAACAAATTGTAGCATCTGTTTGATTTCTATTGATCCTTCTAAGCCGAAATAATTTATCCATCGCACTTTGTTAATGTTTAGCACACATTTTTGTTGAGTAGCCAACCTATATACATCTTTATTTTTTAACTTCCTTAAGTTAAGATTAACTCCAGTTTTTTTATCATAAACGTTGTAGGTTTTTTTTATTAAAATTAACCTTGGTTTTAATCGATTCTTGCGATTGTAGAATTCCTGCCCATTTTTTTGGAAAGGCCATTTTAACTTGTAGCATTTCACTCATCCAGTTTTGTTTGTTTGCTAATTTGTTATAAATGTATTTTTCATTAATTCTACCATTTTTGTCAATTACATCTTCAACATAAATCATATTGCTATCGATCCAATTATTAAGGATTAATTTTTTTTCGTTGATCATAATATTTTTATTTCCCCATATGACCTCTTTTCTTACTTCAAAAAAGGTATCTCTATTATTTCTACCAGTACCACCTACCTTTAGCCATGACTCCAATATGTTTACATAAAAACTTGTTACATTTTTACTTAGATCTTTAATTTGCTTAATTTTTTCAAAATTCATTTTAAATATTAACATGTTTTTCCCATAATTTCCGTACATCATTTTTGGTATAATTTTCCAATTTGCTTCATCCTTGTTTGTTAATCGTTTCACCCATGCCACCCTTATGACATCTATATGTGATATAATATCACGTGTTTTTAACCCCC